TAATTAAGGGGGACAATAAAACAGGGGGACAAATTCCCATAGATTTACACTGAAGGAGGTCCCCATGCCACATCTAGAGACCTGAAGGTCACAGTGATGCAAGAATGGACTCCCACTTAACAATGTCCAACAAGCATTTTTTTCTTTATGAAAAATTAAAGTTTATTTATTGATAAAACTATTATAGTTATAATACGTTATTTTATACCTATGTGCATGTTTCTTACATTCATGCCTACTCAGTGATTTAGCATAGGCTGAGTTCTCTGACTGCTGGCAATGGGGTTAATCTCATGACTAGCGCTGCTGATTTGAATTACGCTGCTGTTTCCACCCCTGCTTCCCTTTTCACACAATCCCCTTTCCTCTGTCACCCCCTCAGCCTTCTTAGTGTGCCCTCTTTTGGGGCATCGGTGTGTGTCTGGGTAATTATGCTCAAGCCGGGACAAAAAGCGCATGGCACCACACATTAGCATAATGATTTACGAGGGAGGTTACGCAAGGCAAAGCAGAGAGGAAATTAGTTGCTTCAGGCAACTGGCAGCAACATCATTATGTTATGCAAAAGATGCTTGATGCTAATGCCTTAATAAATATGCTGCGTTTAGATTTATGCACACAGTGTTATCACAGGGATAAATGCAAATATAAAAATAATTTGAAAAGTCCTTCTTCAGAATGAACTTTGCGTTTATGGTGTATGACAGCCTTTCTAAAGAGCGGCAGACCCTTTCTCGTTATTGATGTCATGGACCCAGTGGCGTTCTTTTATCAAGTTCTGTAATCTTCCTATCTATTATCCTGCTGTCTTGTTGGAAATAGATAATTCTGAACCAAGAACTGATTTCAGCCTGAAATATCAATACCTAGAGCATGCAAAAGAATATCTTCCAGTTGCAGACAGTTTCAGGAGCAGAAGTTGCACACCAAATGCAGAAAAATGTAAAAATATTGGAAAATCTCTAGCATATTGGAAGTACTGAAACTTCATAAATAACATCATCTAAGCTGACATATAAATTTTAAATGAAGCACCATTAGTATAGAGTTCTTGCAAAAGGCTAAGCCTGAGCTAGTTTTGGCCTCCACGTTCAAAATAGCCATGTGATACTCTTGTTGATTGCATTACTATGTAGATTGATGCAATTGCCAACTTTGCCAATTGCCGATTTAATCCCTTGTGTGTTCTTTCATGTGAAGGAACTGTGAGAACCTTATTCAGATGGCTTGTGTTGTGGGGAATTTCTTCCTGTTTTTCCAAGTTTTAAAGATATTCCTAATGATAAAACAGTTATTGTTCCACACTACTGTGCTGTCATGTCACTCGTGCTTATGTTCACCTTCTTTTGTGAACCTTTTCTTTTCAGAACATACATGAATTTTCAGTGAGTTTATATTGTCTTATGTCCTCTAAGTTTAATTTTTTCATGGTTCCGTTTGTATCACGTTCTGTGGTTGTTTTAGTCAGGGCCGGATTTACCTCTTATTGTGACACAGGCAAAATAATTTTTTGGGCCCCCCTTCCCTATTAATATATACTTTTACCACCCTAAAACAGCAAACAAAATACATTGAAAAAATACATTGTTCTCTATTGCAGAATCCCGTTGCTGATTTAAAATAAATAATAATTTAATTTTAGAGCTGGAGGCTTGAGCTTTTACAGTAATATGCAGACTAATGCTAGAGAGAGAGAGAGAGAGAGAGAGAGAGTGATTTTGAAATTTAAAAATAAATTTTATTACATTTCAGTTATTCTATAACAAAAATCAGGCCACACAAGAGAAAAAAATAAATATTTATATAAAAAACAACAACAACAAAAAAAACTGTTAAAAGTCAATACATCATCAATAATGCTACAAAGAACATTGACCCAATACAAAAAATTAAACAACTCACATTCATATGAAAGTTTTCATGAATACTTAAAACCACAAATAAAAACCTCCACAGAGAACCCTTCATCAAACCATTTGGTAACACTTTATCACAACTTTCATTAATAAATCATTAACATTATATAATGCTTAATGGATCATTACTTAATATATATTCAAAGAGTTAGAAATGTGAGATAATGTGCTTGTTACTGTTTGCTAATAAACTTATTAAACATTAGATAATGTTCAAACAAATAATTATTTCATGTAAGTTAAAGGGGTCATATGATGAAATTTCAATTTTTCCTTTCTCTTTGAAGTGTTACAAGCTCTTGGTGCATAAAGAAGATATGTAAAGTTGCAAAGACTAAAGTCTCAAATCCAAAGAGATATTCTTTATAAAGTTTAAGAGTCAACCACGCCTACCTAAAACGGCTCGTTCTAACACGTCCCCACATGTCTACGTCACGATGTGGGAAGATTTGCAGAACGCTGCCCAAATGTTCACGCAAAGAAAGAAGCGTAACTTTTATTCTCTCTGTAGTATTGTTGCCACCGTTGTCGTCATGCCGTGGAGACGCTGTGTTTCGTTGTGAAAGCGAAACTACTTTGTTTGGCCTTCCAAAAGAGGATGATATCTGCTTCATCATGCCTAGAGCTGATCCGTGCTGGTCACTGAGGAAATACATCAACTTCGCGCTGTGGAACAGCAGATTGGCTTTCACCGTGGACAAAGTAGAGTCCAGCCAGGGGTCGTCACATGTGTTTGCCGCAAGCCCGTCGGCCGCGCCGTTCTCAAGCCCACCGGCCATCGCTCACTCAGCACGCCGGCCTCTGCTCACTCTAGGCCGCCGCCGCTCACTCTAACCCGCCGTGTGTGACGCTGTGTTACGTTGTGAAAGCGAAACTACTTTGTTTGGCCTTTGTAGCAAATTAGCTCAAAAGGGAAATATTTATAATTAATTATAACTGGTTATAATTAATAATACATATTTAGATTAGATCTTAGAATTAACTGTAGCAGAATCAATATTACAATTATTTGATCTGTCCGTCCACCGGGCAGACAATATAATCATTTATCAATTCAAGGAAAGATTATTTTCCTGGCCAAGGAACAATAGCTTTCCTACTTAATGCAGTACTAGCAGTAATTTAGCATGTAGCAAGAATTCAACATTCAGTGACTCCGAATAGTGAGCAGCACACAGAGACAATCAATTGTGAATATAAGGGATTTAATAAATGAAACTATAGCTAACGTACAACTCAACTAAGCAAAACACCTATATACAGAATGAAGGAAAGTACAGAAAGAGAGAGAAGAACAAAATAATGCCGGTATTTCACATCTATTAACCACAACCTAATGAGAATCATCAAAGAATCAAAAATCACCTTAAAAGGGGCTCAAACTTAAACACGTATCTAAATGGTTGTAAACGGTTACTTGCATTGGCTTCGTTGCTGAACAAGAGTCCTGATGCGGTAGACAACGGAGGTTCTTGATGAGTTCTTTAGGAGTGAGCTGGAGGTTTTCCTGGTTCTTCTGAAGATAGGAAAGTCCACAGCGAATCAACAATGTTAACTGAAGATAAAAACTGCCGGAAAATCAAACTCGAGGAGAGTTTTGAGGAGTCTTGGAGAGTGTCTCTCTCACGAAGAAAGGTTTTGAGCCAAGATTAGTGTGAGCTAATGACGTTTGAAAGTTCCTATCCACACCCACCTTTTGGGTGGGATGGCCAATCAGAGGCATGAATTTTGAGTGGGAGAAACTTTCTTTGTCTCTGTTTATGGCCCATTTGCAAGTTTATTGCTGGTCTGGAGGATTGGTGCAGTTTTACCCAAAATATGGTACAAATAGTATGATGCATTTCACGATCACATAGTGTACATCATTGTTTGAGGAATAAAGATCAGTTTGTTACCAAGAACGAAACATCTAGAAGATCTTAAAGCAGAGATGCACTCATATACCTGAATATAAGCATTGAGAGTCTAACTAATACAAATAAAGAGTTGTAACTAGGCTAATATAATAGGGAAACAGACAAACAACACATGCATATACCAGATACAATTGTAACTGATTAATTATAGTCTAAATAAAGAAAATGTCTCTATGCGTGTGTGTTATGTGTATTGCGAGCATGGGGTAGTTCGCTGGCCGTCAGATATCTGGTGCCAGGTACTGTGGATGGCTGTCTCTTAGGACATTGGAATGTATTTGAAGTTGATAGGGAGACCAGAGAGTTGATCTGGTTACCATCGTCTTGATAATGGGGGAAAGACCATTGGCAATTTAGCACCCATATAACTGTAGAATCTGGGGCCAGGACTGTAATTTATATGCAAATGTCAAAATGCTGAAAGGGTCTCTGAGACATAAAGCCCCCATGACCCTCAATAATCCTAAGCAGACGCTACAGAATCCCCACTTTTGGCTGACGAAGTTCACCTGCAAACATCGTCAGACAACAGTTGTCATGATGCTCGGACAGCAGGTGGATCATGATGATCGGATGGTAGGTGGATCCTGAATGGCCGGATGGCAGGTGGATCCTGATTGTCAGATTGTAGGTGGATCAGGAAGGCCGGATGGCAGGTGGTTTCTAATTTTCCTCAGCCTTTGGATTCTCAGCTTGGGGTTTAACCGTGGTCAGGTTCAGCATTGTCTCCGCCTGGGTCCCTCTTTTCTGGTGGCTCCATTTGAAGGTTCGAGGAAGGGCAGCTGTGCACCTGTTAATGGTCCTTTGCACCCCGTTGACTCGGTTAAACAGGACAAAGGCAAGGCCAAGAGTTAGGGTGTACCCGATTGCTGTGGCGAGGCAAAGTGCCATGTCGGCAGAGGTCCAGGATCGGGCAAAGAGAAAGGTGGTCTGGACAGGCAACCAAGACAGTGCTTGGAGGGCTGTGTCGATTGGGGTGATGTCAATCATCTGGGACCCCCCTTTCTCAATGCTCAGTTCCAATTCAGGTTCCAGGGTGAGATTGTGGTCCCTGAAGAAGGCTGGCATTTCTACCTCGGATTGGTACGGATGGCACCCTTGGGCACTTGAATCCACATACTCTGGTTGGGCAGGCTGACACGGGTGGCAGTGTCATTCTGGTCATAGGTCATTGTGGTGGTACAGATGGGCGTGTTGACGAGCCACTGATTTCCCACAATCTCTGCTTGCGTTTCTGTGACTTGTGCTGTGGCTGTGTGACTGTGTGACTCTGTGGCTTGGCCTCAGCAGGGCAGAGTGTCTCTCTTTGCATGGGTTGTAACCCGCAGATTCCTTCAGTGTTGTCTCGAAGGAAGGGCTTGCTGGGGCAGAGATAATGAATGTCTTTGGTCAGGGTACACATGCGCAGGTTTGGGGCCAAGTATAACTGTGGGTTATCGTCGTGGTAGGCTACCATATCTGGTGTGTGTATTCTGATGTGAGTGTTTCCCTGCCAAAATCCAACATTGACAATGTCTTTGAGTCTGTAAATGTTGTCGGATTCAATGATGGGTAGATTCAGAAGGAACGCCATCTCGCTCTGCTCGGGGTCAACATGTAGCAGGATGGACCCTCCCAGGGAGTAGGCAAGGTGGGCTTGAAGAGGGTCAGCTGGACGGGTAGTTACAGAGGATAACACTGTTTGTACTAGGCTCAGGGGCACCAGATACGGAGGAATTCTACCCATGGCTAGGCTGTCAATGGAGGAGCTCACCTCACACTCTGGTTGGGCAGGCTGACACGGGTGGCAGTGTCATTCTGGTCATAGGTCATTGTGGTGGTACAGATGGGCGTGTTGACGAGCCACTGATTTCCCACAATCTCTGCTTGCGTTTCTGTGACTTGTGCTGTGGCTGTGTGACTGTGTGACTCTGTGGCTTGGCCTCAGCAGGGCAGAGTGTCTCTCTTTGCATGGGTTGTAACCCGCAGATTGTGTCTTTGAGTCTGCAAATGTTGTCAGATTCAATGATGGGTAGATTCAGAAGAAACGCCATTTCGCTCTGCTCGGGGTCGACATGTAGCATGATTGAACCTCCCAAGGAGTAGTCAAGGTGGGCTTGGAGAGAGTCAGGTGGATGGGTAGTAGCAGAGGACAACACAGTTTGTACTAGGCTCAGGGGCACCAGATATGGGGGAATTCTACCCATGGCTAGGGTGTCGATGGAGGAGCTCACCTCACAGAGCATGTCAGACATCAGTGTGGTGACCAGCTGAGTTTTCACGGAGTTCACAGTTTTGTTCAGCAGGACACTGTGAGTGTTCAGAACCACCAAGGTGCCCTTTAATGATCTGCCTATAGTCTGTAGGGTTTGGCCCTGTAGTGTGAGTTGTTCTGTCAGCTGGGGCATCTCAGTCTGGATCTCCCTTACATGTTGCCTCAGGGTAGATAGGCTCACGGAGTTGATGCTGGTCACTCCCAGGTTGAACAGGGTTCCAACAGCAGCAGCAGCTCCAAGCAAGGCCCCCAGGAATAGTTTGTTACAC